GGATAGAGCCGGCGGGAATCCCGGTGAGGGAACCAGGGGAGCCCAGGCAGAGACGCCGGCGGGGCATCGGGAAAGAAGGCCGCAAGGGCAAAGAGGGCCCTCGACGCCCAGTCCTTGTCCGGGGACAAGGAACAGAAGGTCCGCGACCAAAGGTGGCATTGGCTGGGGTGTAGGGGAGGTCGGAGCCCTGTGAGAGCCCGCCCAGGGGCGCTTTGGCGCTGGAGGCCGCAGAGAGGGGGACCCCCCTGCTGCGGGCCCAGCCGCGACCGCGGTCGGAGTTCCGGGGACTCCCCAGCAAGAGCGGGGCAGATCCGGTTAGCCACCCGCGCAAGAGTTGCCCGAGAGCGCCTTTTGGAGCAGAGGCAGGCACACTGCCTAAGCAGGGAAAATCAAAATTTGCAAAACAGTAAATCTACTTACATACTCCCAGATGTGAGATTTAACACCAAGGTCCTATTACTTGGAGCCAATAATTATAGCATGCTTGGTAAGAACTATGATATTAACCTTGGTGACCTTGCAAATTTCTGTTTCATGTAATCAATTCAGACTCTCTGCACTTTCAGAGGGACTTAGAATTTTCTCTTCCTTTCCAGTTGTGCAGGGTTGCTCTGTAGCATTCAGTAGTGGGCATGCCCTACACTAAATGTGGTTGCATTTTTTGTGTGTATTTTGCATCAGTCATTTAAGATGGAAAAAGCTCTTGTAGATTCTTGGAAGTCAAAAGGTATGGTATTAAACATAAGATGAACATCTGCACAGAAGGTCTTGAGCAAGGCAAGAGAGAGAGAGCCAAAACTACGTGGAAAGTTTGCGTAAGAGTTGTAGAAAAGGCACTCTGGTGGCTCATGGGAAAAGCAGAAATGGAGACAGTATAGGGCTACATAGAGGAGGAAAACCAAAGCTGGTTGGGTAGATAGGAAATACCTTATTTAATCACAGAATTATGATAATTTCTGCAGCACACAGAGTTCCTGCACCCCCACAACAGGTTTGGTGGCAAGAAGCTCTTCCTTACTGTGTGGGTTTTGTTTTGGTGGGGCTTTTTTCTTTCTTTTTTGTCTCAAATGAAAGACACAAAGCACATGTCTGCCCATCTAGGTTGCTTCCTTTGGGACTCCTGATCACACCATTGAGAAGCATGGGTCCACTCATGCTCCTGCTCCATACACAGCAGATGTAGAAATAAGATGGTGAAGTAGCTAAAGGGATGTTTGGTCTCCAATAAGCTCGAGAGTGGCAGTGGGGCATCCCCTGGGCAGCTTCACCACCTCACTGCTAGATTTGACATCTGTAGAGCAGAACTTTGTGGTCCAGGCTGTGCTTGGGTGGGATCATTGAGCACTCAATCTTTAGTGTGAATTATCTGTGCAGGAGTACAATAGAAGAATGCACAACTGTAGCCCAACTTCAACATGAAACCTTTTTCCTTTTCATGCACTTGGCATTCCTGGAGGTACATATGGTGTCTCAGTTCTGACTGAAGTGCATGATTACCAAGGATCCAGGTTTTCTGTTTCCCATGGAAAACACAGAAAAATACAGAATTTTCTCCAGAAAATCATGGATTTTTCCTTTTAAAGGAGAAAAACTTGGAAAACCATGGGTTTCAGCCTGCAAGGGGCTGCTTGGGAATGGGGGTGATTAGAAGCAGGGGGCCATGTGCATGTGGATATGCACGTGGCCAGCACTGCAGCCACGCAGCCTGGAAAGCAGCTCCTGCAGCTCCCTTTGGGTAAGTCTATGGGGGGAGCATAGGTAACACATGTGGAGGGGGCATACATGATGTGTGGGAGAGGTGGGGGTGCAGAGGCGATGCATGGAGGGGCATGTTCCCCCCAGATTTCTATGCCCACAGTGGCATTCAGAGCACAGCATGTGGAGCCACCTTCTGGCTGGACCAGCACCAGGCAGAAGCCACCTCTGTGGCTGCAGCCCTGTGCTCTACTGTGGATGCAGAAATCTGGTGGGGCATATTGCCTCATACCCCCACAATGTGTTGCCTATGGCATTGCCTATGCCCACACACCCTCTTGCCCTACACACCCACCCTATGACCCACACACTGGAGTCTGGGGGTGGGGGGCAGTGGGTCAGGAGTGAGGGGCACCAACAGGGCTAGGGGGAGGGTGGAGGACTGTGGGTTGGGAGTGAGGGGCACAGGTATGGGCAGGGGCACAGCACTGGCACATCAGGGCTGTTCAGCACCACAAAGCAGCCGGGAGGACAGCTGCAGCTGGTCCTGCATCCTGATAAGCAAAGGGTGCAGGGGGATTTTCTGTGATAAAAAAACCAAAATCAAATGGCAAAATATATAGGTATTAATTTCATTATAATGACTGAGGTGCTGTTAAGCTTCCAAATTGCTTTAAAATTGTAAATCTATCAATAAAGCTGTGCGTTCAACTGACACCTATACATATAGTGGCATTTAATTTTAATTGTGGAAAAATGTGGATTTTGGGTGTTTTAATCAGAGGATTTTGGATTTTTAAAGAGAGAACCCTGATCCCTGATGATCATTTTTATTTGGTTCAAATCAGAGGGCACGGGTAGCAGGAAGGTGATTTATTCTTCATTTAAACTGAATAAGTATTTGGGATTTTCTTTAGCTGTTTGCCAGGGCTGTCCCTAGTGGTGTGTGAATTGGGGCAACCGCCCCAGGCCCTGGGCTTTGGGGGGCCCTGCAGAGCTGAGTGGAGCAGGTGCGGCAACTTTGGTGCTGCCATTGGCTTCACATCTGGCCGCTTGGCACCCCCCCCTCTGCCGCCGGCTTCCTCACATCTGGGGGTGCAGTGCTGCACAATCTGATTTGCCCTGGGCCCCGCACCCTGCTCAGGTCATCTCTGCTGTTTGCCCTCCTTCTCCCCTACCCAAAACCAACGCCCGCTTCCCAACAAATATAGAACTAAAATGTAGTGGTTGGGCCTAAATTTATCTCCACTAATCCTTTCAGATTGAAGGATTTTTCAAAGCTCACTATGAAATTTAGCTACAGAACTCCCACTCATTCCAATGGGTTTTCATGGCTTTGAAAATTAGAATAGCAGCATGTTTTACAATTCATAAATGTATTTAGAAAGAGTGAAATGGGAATCGCATCAGTTCAAATACTTGTGCAGAAACTAACAAGTCAACATGGTTGTGTAGATAATCTTGCAAACTTAAAGGAAGCTTAAGGATCAGAAGGAAAATCACACAAGCATACACACATACCCAGGTATGCTATTTTTTAAAATTGGAGCAATTTTTGGAATGTGTGTCAAGATTTTTCACATCTTGGCAATTCTGTAATTATAAATCTTGTGTGTCAATAATTGCTCGCTTAGTCTTCAGGCAACTGATATCATTTTGACTAGTAAGAAAATTTCAGTGATAGGCTCTGAAAATGCTACAAGCCACTTGTACCTTTCTGTTTAGCTGCCGCTTTAATTGAACCAGAAAACCATAAAGAGAATAAAGTAATGATAAATAAAAATAATAAAAATAATGCAGTAAGAGGAGTCCTTGCTTATAACTCTGATTTGTAAGTTCCAAGATTCAGCTCACTCTATCTGATTTCAACTGTAAAATCTGTTGAATGTCCCAGACAGTGAGGGTGAAATAACCAGAGTAATTCACAATAGCATATGAAACATATATAAACCAATTACTTCCTTTTGCTGCGGATGTGCCATAAACAAAGTAGCTGATATTTCTATATCTAATTAAAATCTTATTATTCCTCAAGTCTTCCCTTTGTCCCCTGTATATGTATTATTGCAAATAACTTACACCATAAGCAGAATTGCAGGTATAATCAGTCCTGGATTTGCCACGTAACTGAAGATCTTGGCTACAAAAGCTGGGAAATCAAGCTCAATGGTCTCTTGAATTACATCAGACATTCTTTTCTTTCCACTGAAAAGATAAAACCATCAATTAAATACTGTTTATGGTTCCTGAAAGGCAGCAGTTATGCCTTCTTTAACAACTTGAACTCATTAGGGTTTTTTTTTAAGAATGATCAAGAAATATCTCTTCATTGTTTGCCAGCATGATGATTCCTGTTAAAAATTTTGACATTAAAATGTTTTAAATGATTTCATTTACAAATATCTTATATCCAGTTTTCATCGAATTCCATGAATCTTGATTATGTAAATGACAGCTACAAAGACTAACCAGCTTCAAAGATATGTAGGTCTGTGTGTGTTCTCTTCTGAAGGTACTAAATAAGCTCTCAAGATTTACTTCTCTTTAATGAGCAAAATATTATTTTTGTTAACTGGAAACTTATTTCAACTCATAAACTTCTGATTCTAATATCATATTGACGGAAAAATGTGGACATGCTTTTTCCTACACAAATCAGTTATTTTCAAAAATATGAACCAGTGTCAAGAACAGCTGAGAAACAGTAAAAATTGAAAGAATCATTTTAACATAATAGTAAGGCTACTGAAGGAGTAATTTGTAAATACATTTTAAAATTAAATATAGTTGTAAACAAATGGAATAAAGTTCCACAGGCCTAGACTTGAGTTAGATGCTCTGTGAGTACTGCATCTGTACAATGGATGTGTCTCTTCTCACCGCCACTCCTCATCTACAGAATTGCTGAATGCTTAATAATTTTTATTAAATAGAAAACACTTTTGAATTCTGATTTGGAAAAAGTCAGATTCTATTTCCAATAGGGACTGACTTGACTAGACAGTACTGCCAGTTTTGCCAGCTTTCCTTAATCAAGTAGCATTAAGTTTCTATCAAGATCCTTCAATATTGTCATGGGAAGGATTTGCTTGGGAGGAAAGGGGGAGCATGTAAAAGAGACAGATATGAATGACTTAGAGAGACTGCAAGATTAAAATATCTGTTCTTTAGTGCTTTAAGTAAAACCTAGATCTGTGAAATGTTAGAAGTTTATTTATGGCATTGGAAGTCTCTTATCACTCAGCTACACCAGGCACATATGCTTGCATTAAGTGGAAGGTTGAAGCTCAACAATTTAATATTATTAGCTTGCAAGTTTTCATTACCTGTAACTACAATGTCTCTGAAAGGTGCTGGTCTGACAGCTCTGGGACTGAAGCCTGTCTGTTTAAAACAAGTGCAGTATGAAGAACAGAAAGTTCCTTGCATTGCTTCAAAGGAGAGGTTTCATCTCTGATGATGGAGAGTAAACAGACATGTCTCCTGTGACTTACAAAGAGTTACCAGTTAGCTTTTGAGATACGGACCCTCTGTGGTGGGAAGGAGAGTAAGGCCACTGACTACACAGGTATGGGAGGATGCCCAATCTGGGGCTTGGGGATCAGATCCCAATCACTTCCTACTTGCCAGTAAAGGAGGAGTCTGGAATCATGATCCTGGACTCCCCTTGCACCACTAAACTGAAAGTCAGGAGCCTGATGCTTGGCTGACAGCCAGCTGCCTCTGGGAAGGCACTGGAGCTGAAACCGGCCCCAGGCTCTGGAGCCTGCCAATGGTCAGCTGATGTTCACGTAGATTGAGGTGATATGGGAGCTCAAACCCACCCTGCTTAGGTCCCTGCATTGGGGTGGGTTGGAGTTCTTGTGCAGTTCCAAGTCCAGCTAATGATCAGCAGATCCTCCTCTGGCTGGGACCAGACCCAGTTCCAGTGCAGTCCCTGATCTAGCTGATGACCAGCTGACTGTCCTCCAGCTCTGGGGACTGTACTAGGGCACATTCAAGCCCCAGTGTGGCCCTGATCCAGCCAATGATCAGCTGATTGCTGGCTGGTGGGGACCACACCAGGCCTGATTGGAAACCTGATGCAATTCTAATGCTGCCACATCTTCAATTTAAAGTGCAATGAAGACCAACCACAAAATATTACATGCTCTTTGTGTAATATTTTTGTGGCTGTTTTCCTTTTTTGTGGCACAATTAATTGCCTGAACATGTGGCCGGGTTACTGTCCGAGATGCAATTAACAGACTACAGTGTGCCGTCTACCAGGGGCCTTTTGATAACTCTCCTTAACACTCCAATGTTAATTCACAATTCACGGCTCCCTATGCTAGACTGACCTGACAAAATGAAAGGTTCTGCAACACCTCTCCAGGTCCCCTCAGACATCCAGTCTTATTGTACTTGATTATACAAGTTACGTAATAATGGGTGCTTGTGGATATGAGGACAAGGGTGAGCCTATGGAGATGGGTACTGGGGAATACTTTCAAAGAATAAGAGCTTTAAATCCTGCAAGTGCTGTCCATACAGTTAAGCACATCTTGGTATTCTTCTTGTCTCTAAACTCTTCACAAATTTCTACCACTAATTTTAATTATCAAATAAAGCCTGAGGCAGTGCAACTAAAGAAACAATCTGTCCCAGTCTGATTGCTCACTGGGTGTATCTACACGTTCATTAATGCACCATAGTTACTGCACATTAAATTTAGTTCTTGCCTAACCAAGTACTAAATCAATGTGCAATAACTGGTGCTACTGTGCAGTAGTGCTGGCACACGGGATTTTACAGATGCTAACTGTGCAGTAGTATTAGGCAGTTAGTGTCTGTAAAAACCCGTTCACCAGCACTACTGCAGTGTTATTAGGCTACTGCGCAGTTAGCATCTCGTGTAGATGCACTCAGAGTCAGACATAAGTGTATACTAGGTAAGTGTTACACAATCCAATGAGAGTGGATTACTCTGTTAATCCAGATGTAGGAGTTTCATGAGATCATAGGAAAGTAGGGCTGGTAGGGACCACATGAGGTCATTTAATCGAGCCCCCTGCTCAAGGCAGGATCATATCTGACTAAACCATCCCAGCCAAATGTCTGTCCAACCTCCTCTTGAAATTGTCCAGGGATGGAGATTCCACAGTTTTTCTTGGTAGCCTGTTTCAATGCTTGACCACCCTCCTAATTTCCAAGCTAAATTGCCCCTGCTTCCCCAGTGATGTTCTGCTATTGGAGGCAGCTAGTGCTTGAATAAAGTGAATTCACTGAAAGATAATATCACTGGAAGACAGCAGAAAAGAAGTAGGAGTAAGTTCCTCACCTGCCCCACCATACCCCATTCACCATTGGTTCCAAATCACAGCCTGTAACTTTTCTTTATACTCTAAAGAAGATTATAATATGACTAAAAGTGAAAGCATTGTCCAGTCACCACTGGATAATAACTTCTTAACTGCCAGCAACAAAGTTTTGTTTTGTTTTTAATAAATCTTTTTTGTGGGTTTTGGTCATACCTGAATGGTCCACAGTCAAAGGAAGGAGGGAGGGACATTATGGTGTAGGCCACAGGCAGTAGGCTTAGGAACAGGATGAGTAGTAAGAGTCCCATATAAAAATTGTTGGATTTGGATGCTTTAAAAACACGCTCATGAGGAACATTGCTACTCATAACAGCCCAGCATTGAAAATACATGGAAGTTAATAAACGCAGCACATTTATACCAACAAGCCCTGGTGCATAAAAGGATCCCATCCTAGAAAGAAAAGGAGGAAGAGAAATTGCTGTTTATTAAAATCAGAAAGGTTATTTGCTTTAAGAGCTGCAAACCATATGTTAGCATAATTATAGAGTATGTTTGCAAATGGAATCTAACCAAACCCCATCCTAGAAATGGGATCTAATGGCATCAGCTGATGTTACTTTTATCCCCTCGCTCACTCAGAGGAGAAATTTCAAATCCTGGATGAATATCCATCCACCTATAACTGGGCTGAAGCCTAGTGTAGATATGCAAGTACATCAAAATATGCAAGTACATCAAAATTGCACCTGTCTGAAAAGCAGGATTTCACTTTTAAAGCCAATGATCTTTTTTTTTTTTTTTTTTAATTGCTTTCAGTCCAATTCATATATATTAAAAGTGGGTTACCCATGAACCAGAAGTTTTAAGAAAACAGGCTCTTGAAAAACCTGACTACACAGTGTTTTCAAACTAAAATATGTTCTTCAGACTATGAAGGTGACACCTCTGCTAATAACAGTTTACCAGAAGAGCTGTCTAGGATATTAGTCAGTGACTCTGCTTGGAGTCAAGAACTAGGAAACCCTGTCATGTTTAGTGCCCCTGACTCATGAGCCTTGTAATTGTGGTATCCCCACCCTTATGCCAGTTCACTTAACAGGTATGTCCCAGAGCTGGGAGACCCTGGAAGCCCCAGATCCTAAGGTCTGGGCCAGTCCAGGGTCCCTGCCTTGGATTCTATAGAAGATGATGTGGTTCAGGCTCACAGGTGATGAACATTACTTAACAACCTTTTGTTTTGTGAGAATATTTCTGAGTAGTTTGAGATTTTTAATTGTTAAAAAACAATGTAGCCCTTACAGCTGAGAAAAAAATCTTGAAAATGCAAACTGGGTGCATCTACATGAGATGCTACTGAGCAGTAGCAATGAGCTACTGCACAGTAGACTTCCTACTGAGCAGCAGCATCTGAGAAAAACCATGTGACGATGGTACTGTGCAGTAATGCCAGGTACAGTGCAGTCATTTAGTACTAGCTTGTGCAAGTACTAAATGACTGCGCAGTAACAACTTCACAGTCCGTTGCTCATGTAGACGTGGCCACTGAGTACAAATGGAGTATAAGAAATGCAGAAACATCTCTTTGCATGAACAAAATGGAAGCCACTCCACACTAGAGCAGATTAGACCCCTGTGCTCACTTGAGGGGTGACCTTGGCATTGCTTCCAATGCAGCTAAGACAAGAGTGCTATTGTCACTTGTGCATCCTTCAGATGGGCAACAAACATCCACTGAGTTGTGCCTCTTGTTCTTTTAATCTAAAACGTGCCAAATATTTTTTGCTTTGTATCTGAGGACTGGGTTGTAATCTTATTTACCTGTTCCATAACAAGGAATAGTACTTTTTAACAAAATACAAAAATCGATCCTTCTAGTTTTCAAATTCTAGCTGCATTGCTAATCTCCTGGTTACTTAATACCATTAAAGATTTTCTGTTCAAAGGCTATAAAGGGAAAAAGGTATCTTACCAGATCATTCCTTGATTGAAGATCAAGCCCAGCACATTGCCGCTGATATCAAATTCAGCATAAGAGGGCTATACAAAAAGAAGTGAAAATAATTTTGCAATAAATATTCTGATGCTTGTTGTGGCAAGGTGTAAAAGGGCCTGCCTAGTCAGAGTGGATAAGACATTTCAAGGTGCTCTCATGTTCTACATCTATTGCCCAAATGACTTGATATGGAGCTAGGAAAACAAAGGGGGAAACTAATGCACTGTTGGCTATTTCCTCTTCTGATTTGCTAGAGGTGCTTCTCAAGTGTTTGCTTTTTAAGTCTTCTCTGTTAATAAAACCAGCTATGATGAATGAGCCTGTATCTGTGGGACTGATTTCTTTCCTCTCTGGGGGCATGTCTACACATCATGCTATATCGCCGTAGGGATGCACTACGTCACCATAGCAATTCACTATAGTGACATAGCAATTATGTGCAGCTCCACATCACCAGCAGCTACTTTGCTGTAGTGGCATGTTCCCCTGTTTTAGCATGCCACTACAGCAAATAACTGTGCGCTCTGTGTATGGTGCAGTATGGGTGGTTACTGCCCCATGCTTCAGTACTTCCAGAAGAAAGTACTAAAGCACAGTGCAGTAACGACATAGGATGACGTGTAGACACACCCTGGGTGGGGTATCTAGCCACTGGCTTGGTTTCATCCTAGCAAAGCATTTCTTGTTTAAGTTTATGACATTTCTGACAACAAGTTTGAATGTGAAAATTTCCCAGCTACATCCATTCCCACTTAGTTTACAGATAAGGATTGGGTAAAAGTGGAGAGAAAGATATATTTCTGAAGGAGATTGTCAGACAAGGTTCCTTGGGTGAATTTGACATCTTTTATTAGACCAACCCAAATAGCTGGAGAATAGTTATTAAGCAAGCTTTCGGTTTCGAAAACCCTTCGTCAGGCTAAGGAAGTTTCAGCAGTTGGTATGTGCTCTTCCTGGATGGAATGAAAAGTAAAGAAGGAGATTGTGGCATGAGTAGTGTGATGCTGTTTTGTTCTGAATTATGCAAAAGCCTAAAGGTCAAATGACTTTATTGCTATATTATGCAAGTCAAGAGTGCTCATGTTTACAATGGGCAAATATTTTAAAATCTTACTTGAATATAGCATTGATCTTTAAGGGGCCATGGCAAAAGCCTCAGCTCTTAGGACATGGACTGATTTCTTTCCTCTCTGGGGGCATGTCTACACATCATGCTATATCGCCGTAGGGATGCACTACGTCACCATAGCAATTCACTATAGTGACATAGCAATTATGTGCAGCTCCACATCACCAGCAGCTACTTTGCTGTAGTGGCATGTTCCCCTGTTTTAGCATGCCACTACAGCAAATAACTGTGCGCTCTGTGTATGGTGCAGTATGGGTGGTTACTGCCCCATGCTTCAGTACTTCCAGAAGAAAGTACTAAAGCACAGTGCAGTAACGACATAGGATGACGTGTAGACACACCCTGGGTGGGGTATCTAGCCACTGGCTTGGTTTCATCCTAGCAAAGCATTTCTTGTTTAAGTTTATGACATTTCTGACAACAAGTTTGAATGTGAAAATTTCCCAGCTACATCCATTCCCACTTAGTTTACAGATAAGGATTGGGTAAAAGTGGAGAGAAAGATATATTTCTGAAGGAGATTGTCAGACAAGGTTCCTTGGGTGAATTTGACATCTTTTATTAGACCAACCCAAATAGCTGGAGAATAGTTATTAAGCAAGCTTTCGGTTTCGAAAACCCTTCGTCAGGCTAAGGAAGTTTCAGCAGTTGGTATGTGCTCTTCCTGGATGGAATGAAAAGTAAAGAAGGAGATTGTGGCATGAGTAGTGTGATGCTGTTTTGTTCTGAATTATGCAAAAGCCTAAAGGTCAAATGACTTTATTGCTATATTATGCAAGTCAAGAGTGCTCATGTTTACAATGGGCAAATATTTTAAAATCTTACTTGAATATAGCATTGATCTTTAAGGGGCCATGGCAAAAGCCTCAGCTCTTAGGACATTTAAAAAAAGGAAAGGATAAGCAACTGAAGAATATGCACAGGAATAACCCTCATCTTGACTAAAGAAGGGGTTGTAGTGTAAAATGAAACAGATGAACTAATTAGTCTTTTCTCTGTGTGTGTAAGATTCTTTTTAGATAAACCTACTGTGAAGTACTTGTTTCTGCTGTAATGTAAGTGGGTTGAGGCAAGAAAAGAGGGGAAGGTGGGCAAGAGAAATCTATCTGGCAAAATGCTACATGCAGCCCAAGTAGCAATATTGTTTTGTTTATGTATAGATGACATTCCCACATATTTTTTCTATGAAGGAACCAGAGGAACAGCAGTCCTACAACAGGCATTAATTCAGAAGGCTTGGTCTCAGACATAAGGGAGGACAACTTTAAATGCTTGTGATTTCCATTCATTTCACAGCAACAGTATTTTGTTAAGTCAAGATTTAAAACAGAGATGGCAAAACTGAAGCTGGTTTTATAAAATATTTTTGGAGAATATACACACACACACACACACACTCAAATATCTTCAAAAATATTTCATAAAACAAGCTTATATAATGTAAGTGTATGAGAAAATATTTTTGGAGTACCAGGATTGGCTTAGATTAGTGTTTTGTTTATCCAAATGCACACAGTTTTGGACAAAATGAGCACAGCATACACTTGTGGTTCTGGTCCATCTCTAATATATTGCCTTTTACCCAAGTGGCTTTTTGTTTCAGTGAAATAGCTGCAACCTTCGTAGACTGCTGTCTTGTGGTCAATTTTAGCTTTGGGCACTTTCAAATTAGTAGGCAAGGTTGAATCAAGGGCATGTTCACAATCTGTGACAGAAAAATATGAACATTAATGGTATCGACCCAAATACCGCATTTGTATGATTACCAGCAGTTCCTGTAGTTTTTTAATAGAAACCAGGGAGGCTGTATTTTAAGAACAAGGCTTCTTGCAAGATTTTTTTTTCGATGTTACTTAGCTAGCTCAGAACCCGTGAGGGTTGCCTGTCCTATGAGGACTAGCATGGTAGGAACCAAATGGAAGTAGGATGTTCAAGGGGGGTGTGAAAAGAAGGAAGAGGGGAGATTTAACTAAATAGACATGCAGACTTTCAAAAGGACTTGGTTTGGATTTTGTACCATTTTGGGGTTATAAAAACCATAGGTTCTGCTTTTATTTAGCTGAGAGAAATATATCGTTCCAGTATCAAGCTTCTATACAGCACAGTCTGTATGGTTCAGGGCCATGGGGAGAAAACAGTGTCTTCCCCTAATGGAGACTGCTGCCTGAAGCCACAGCTTAGTCCTTGATAATCAGGGGCTTCATTCCACTCCAACAGAATTTCCACAGGACTAGATTAGGCCCCAAGGCCTTAGCCTGTTTCGCCTGTTAAGCTTGTGATTAAATTTGGAATGTGATTTATGGTTGCAAAATGACCTTGCAACCTGACTGTGACTGTCAGGGCCAGGGAGGAGAAAAGGAGAAGGCATAAAATAAGCCCTACAAGCAGCACTTGTTAAACATCACTGAAACAGACAATGGATGTAAAAAGAGTGGGTTTTATTTAGGAAAACGGGCCTTGGGGACAAAAGAGACCTACAGGCATCTGCATTACTTTGTTGAAGGCGTCTCATGAAGAAGCCACAAAGGATAAAAGAAATGTCAAAATAGCATTCTCAGAGGCTGTTTGATGAAAGCATCCAGGAAAGTCAAGTGCATCTAACAAAGAGAAAGTCAGGAACGGGGTTGTGGCCTGGGAGAAAAATGATTCTCAGAAAAGGAAATTTCATAAGCACTAGCAATTGGAGGAGGAGCCATGAATAGTAGGGCTGTGCAAAGCTTTGGTCCCTGATTTAATTGGGTGGAGATTTGGCCTGATTAAGTAGCCGAATCTCTAAACCCGAATTGAATCAGAAAACCTTTTAAACTCTCTGCATCGATTTGGAAAGATTTGGAGATTCGGACATAGAGACAGCTTTAAAGGTTTTTCTACATACCTCTAGGTAGCAGGGGCTCGTGAGTGCTGTGATGCTGGGGCATGTGGAGTGTCCCACAGAAGCCCGGGGGGAGTGGGGGGAGGGTCCCCAGTGTGCTCGGCAGCAGACCCGGAAGTGGACCAGAAGCACTTCTGGTCCACTTCCGGGTCTGCCGGGGAGCATACAGGGGGGCCCTCCATGCCCCCCCAGCTCAGTGACTGGTGCCTCCTGGGACCAGGGGGGGCACCCAGGATCTCCCTGCAGCTGATCACTGAGCTGGGGAGGCACAGGGAGCCCCCCAGCGCACTCCCCAGCACTTCCAGTTTCGCCACCAAGCATGTGGAAGGCCCCCCCCCACACTCCTGTGGGACACTCCATGCACCCCAGCATCACAGCAATCATGAGCCACGCCTGCTACCTCAAGATATGTACAGAAAACTTTTAAAGCTGTGTCTATGTCTGAATCACTGATTCTCTGAATCAGATTGAATCTTCATATGCAGATTTGGCTGAATTGAATCAGGGACTGTGATCTGAAATCAATTAATCGAATCACTGTCCCTGATTCAGGCCGAATCCAAATCCAAATCAAATAGGGCCTGCTTTGCACACTCCTAATGAATAGTCTGGTTTCTTCAGGTTGTGTAGATCTCCAAATTCTATCATAGGATAAAGTTTCAAAGTGGTAGCAAGGATAAAGCACTATAGCTCAGGCAAATTTTCACCCTGTCACTCCCTCCTTGCTGCCTCCTCCTTGCCCCTCTCTCCCCCTTGCCCCCCCCCCCCGAAGGTGCAATAATAGAGGAAAGGGAATGGATGGGCAACAAACAAGAAAAAGAGGCCTAAAGTAAAAGTGTGGTAGGTTTGTTGTGGTATACTTTGAAGTCCTGACTCAACCTTGTCCTAAATGCCATGCTGAAAGCACCCCAAACTTCAGATCAAGTAGAAAATACTTATTCTCTAGTCTATATAAGACATTAACTTACAAATCCTGCCTCCAGATCCCAGCACCAACAGTAGTTCATAAATCTAACAAAACAAGCACGGAGGAAATCTCCCACAAGGATGGTTATATAAGTCACCAGAATGTCAGACACAGTGAGCCTCACAAACTCCTGTAGTTGAACACAAGGAAAGAACAATTAGCTACTATAATTTAAGTGGCAAATATAAAGGGGATACTCTCCATTGATCTGTTGTGAATATGTGTTGTGATCTAAGGTTATTGGAGCAGGATCTGACCCAGTGATAATCTAAGATTACAGTATAGCAAACTTGTTTACAGAATTCTCTGTATGATAATGCATTTTGCCCATGTAGCTCACCCGTATGAGTTGTTATTATATCAATTCCAGTTTCTTGAACAAGTTTTGCTAATACTTCTTTTCAATTTGTCAGTTGATTCAGAGCCTCCCACATAGCACTATATCTACTCTTTTTATTACCTACTGGGTGAAAGGTGACACATTGTGAACAATGTTATTTAAAGTAGCTCTTTAATATAGTAATGTAATATCTTGTAATAAGGTTTATGTAACAGACTGAAGTAACCAGAAAGAGCTTTAACTAGGTGGCTAGTGTTTATGAAAGCCAAACATTTTGGAAAAAAAACACAAAGTCAACATTCAAGTGATTGCCATTTCTGAAAATTTTACCCTAAATACTTCCAACAAAACATTGAGTTGTTAAGAGAGGCAAGAATATGGACCAAGTCTCATGACATACCATACTCTTTCAATAGGACCAGCCTCCTTTCCAAGAGTTTCATTCTGTGCAATGATCAATGCCTGTATCTCCTTTTAATGACAGTGGTAACTGAAATTGAGCTCTTGGGAGGGATTCAGAATCATGACTGTATGCTGCACGGCAGTGCTTCTGCTAGCATACATAAAAAAATAATCACACCAGAAACTTTTAAAAAATTTCTTATCCAAGGATCCTCGGATTGCTTACAATGCCAACAGTTGTTTCCCAGCAAGGTCCTCTTGGCACATCTGCTGGGTCAATAGGAGGTGGACTAAATGTACTATTGTTGACTGCAGATGAGTTATAGTAATTAAGCAGGGTCCAATGCGTTATGTTCTTTATTACATCTTCTTCAGTTAGCTAAAACAGAAGAAATATATCCAGCTGAAAACATCCCAATGGGCCCAAATTAACCCAGAAGCTCAGAAAACACTTCCATGGTGGCCAAATGCACTCTCCAGCCTGAATTCAAACAGGTCCAAGCTACAGGAATTTCGTTTTCTCTCTAATGTGGCTACCAGCATGGTATGAAGATGTCATACCAATCAAATTAGGAATGACAGATGAACCCTATGGGTTCACAATTTCATTCTACTTCTTAAATCAGGAGGTGGAACAGTCTCCTTTGACCTAATGGATCATGACATCTCAGGAAACCACCAACTTTGCTCAACACAGCAACTGAGAGGTTCAGCTGGGAAGAGATACAGCAATTCCTCCATTGAAAGCTCTGGACTCGAACTTGGGTCCCAGCTCTACCACTAGCCTGTTGGATCACCTCAGATAAATCATTTCTTTCTATGCCTCAATTTCACAGTCTGTAAAATGGAGATAATATAAACTGCCTGATTAAAAGAACTGGGTATCATTCATAGGGCTTAGGTAATAGCCCATCAATCATTCCTGTATTGCAGGAAAAGGAAGGAGTTTGCACGTGATGAAAATCCTTTTCAACAGATTACAGATAACCCGAAGAATCTAGAAATCATGTCGGAATTAATAACAGTTTGCCTTTTCAATACCTACTATTGTAGTGCTCATATTAAGCCTAATTCATTTCCCCTACTGATACTCAATACCAGTGTAATCCACAGATTTTCTTATGGATGTGAAAGGGATTACAAGTGGATCAACATTTGTATTCACCTTGCTGAAGACATGAGAATCCGGCCTGTTGTGAACAGATAAAATTGAATAGTTGTGTGTGTTTTTTACAAGTGTTCAGAGGAAGTCTTCACTGATTTATCTTGTAAGAACCTTTATTCACTTTGTGTATTGTTTTTCAGAGTAGAACAAATTATTTTGATTATCTCTTACTCTTCATTTTATAATCGAGTGCATTTCAGTGTATCCATAAAACACCTGTTCTTTATATGCATTTAACCTTCCAGCAAAGCTCCAACAGAGGTGTATAAACTAAATAGAAGGGAATGCATTAATAGCAACTATCAAATAAAAAATAATATTAAAATTAATATTCAGTAATGATAGAGGACAAAAAGGTGTTTTGGGTTTTTTTACCTTACATAGACCCAGCAGGGTTGCTCAGGTTAGTCATTTCCCAAGTTGCAAAACATGCTTTAAAAACTCTTGTTTTGAATAATGAAGGACTGCATTATAAGTCTGTGGTACCAGTACAACCATTTTTTGTAAATAAGTGACTGCTAAGTATTTTTATATACTTTTGAATATAAACACTTCATTTATATAACATCACAAGTGAACCTTTGGATCATGGTAGCTATAAGAATTATGATCTTATGCATGTTGTATTCTAAATCCTGTTAGGAATCCAGTTTTTCTCTTTCATCTTACCTTTTCATTGACATCATCCATTAATGCCAGTAAAAAGGTATAGAGGTTCCCCAGAAACAGAGCAAAGATCCGTCCCAGCTGCCATTTCAGTCCAATGCGAGGATGGTAATTCTCTAGAGCAGCAATGGTTTCAAACAGTGGAGGACAAAACATTCCTAGCAAAGACATCACAATTTCAACCTGCCAAATGAAGTTATAGTGGTTAGTAGAAAGAACAGTGATGTTGCTATTTGGAGTTCTTATCAGCATTTAGGCAAGACAGCATTTCACAAGTTAAGGCACTAAGATCTATTTCTAATGAAGAACAAAACAGCAACACTTTTCAGTATCTGCAAACAATTCTCCATCACTGTATCTTAGGAAATGCAGTAACAGCAGTTCGTGTTGATGCAGTTGGACTATACAGCCATGTGCAGATGAGTGTGGATGTTTGGTGCCCCAGGGACAAGCAGCAGCGGTTTCCCTTGCACTGCTGCTACTTGTCCCCAGGGAATGCTCATGCAACGCGTGCTTTGGCACCCAGCAAGTAACCCAGGGGCAGTAGGGGAGGCTGGGGCTAGCACTGTGCTGGCCCCTGCAGCCTTACCTGAGGTCCTGGGGCTGCAACAGTGATAATCCTGCTGGCAGAGCCTGGCTGGCAGCCACAGAGCAGCTCTGGGTGACTTGGCTCAGCTTTTCAGTGGTGCAGTGCATCTCTAGGGGAGATGATTGCATCACCTCTCGGGGGAGCTTGTTCCATAGTCTGGACACCCTAGTTGTGAAGAAGTTTTTCCTAATGTTCAGCCTGAAACTATCTTCTAGGAGTTTGTGGCCTTTGTTTCTAGCTTTCCCCCAGGGCGTCCTGGTAAACAGTTGTTCACCGAGCCCCTGATGTACACCTCTGATATAGCGGTAAACTGCAATCAAGTCCCCTCTCAGCCTTGTTTTCTTTAGGCTGAAGAGTCCAAGATCCCTCAGCCTCTCCTCGTATGGCTTGCCATGCAAGTCCCTCATCATACAGGTGGCCCTTCTCTGGACCCTCTCAAGTTTTAGCACATCCTTGCTGAAATGCGGTGCCCAGAACTGGACGCAATACTCCAGCTGTAGCCGTACCAAAGTTGAGTAAAGTGGGAGAATCACTTCTTTGGTTTTACTGGAGATGCACCGATTGATGCATGCCAAGATATTGTTGGGCCTAATAGCTACTGTGTTGCATTGCCAGCTCATATTCATGCTGGGGTCTATTGTTACCCCCAGATCCCTTTCATTTGTAGTACTGGTCAGATTAGCAACGCCCAATCTGTAGGTGTGCTGGGGGTTCTTCCTTCCCAGATGCAGCACTTTTTGCATTTCTGTACATTGAACCTCATCTGGTTCCATTCTGCCCAACATGCCAACCTATCTAGGCTGCAGATACAAGCAGTCCTATCTGCAGGTGTGTCCATGCAACCCTATATCTTGATGTCGTATGCAAACTTGGCCAATGGGCTTTTCAACCCCTCATCCAGGTCGCTGATGAAGATATTGAACAGCACTGGGCCAAGTACTACTGCTGGGGTGTGTCGTTGCCCACATCTCACCAGGATGACACCGATCCTGTGATTGTATATAGCCAAACTCATCTCTATTCTTTCCAACTTTGAGAAAAATAGTTTTAAGCAAGTGACACTGGACAGCAAGTGGTTGGAGTCTGACAGCTTTCTGAACATGTTTGAGGTATCAGAAGTTCATTTTCTGATTAATCTTATTTGGATACTATACCTCCTGCAGACCAAAAGACTGAATATCCTGGGATGAATATTCTGGTTGTTTGTGCTGTTACATTAGAGGAATGAGGCCAGAAGACTCTTCCTTCATGAAATCTTTGAAGTACTTAGCTCCTAGAAGTCCCATTTCCTTCCAAAGGAGCCAAGGACACTAGGAATAATCAACCAAACCAGGCCTTTTCCCTGTGCATGAAATACACATGCATGGTTGTATATGTGTACAAGTAAAAAAGAAAAAAACCCCCCCCCCCCCCCCCATCTACTTCCTATCTCCATATTTTAAGCATGTTACTGACTAGGGTGGAGGAAAAGTTTTGTTCTGAAGCTTAAGAAACCATGCTGTTTTTTTTTTAATTTTTCAATACGATGGATAAGAATGACTTAGGCACTGACAGTACAATGACTGTAGGGGCAAATATAGAAGTCAATATTATTTCAGGTCTCTCTCAAATTCTGTCTTTGATTATACATATGTAACTTCTATTGAATTCATAGGAAATCGCACTTATTCTGGCCACTGGTAGCAACTAACTCATAGGTTTTTCTATTCCACCACTTAGAAAGTGGTAAAATTAACCAGAAATTGGAGGTCAGGAATGTGCCACTCTCTTCTTGAAAAGTGCAATGAAGTTTTGGATGCTCACCAGAAAAGCCTCAGAGATTAGATTTGGCTTCTTTTTTTAATCTGTACAATTCTGATTCATCAAAACAAAAATGTTTTCTGGGAATCAACGGATTATGACAACATTTTCATAAGTATTTTGAAAAGTGTAGCTTTGAGTTTGTTTCTACTTTGATCTTATATCATAAGATATAAATGTTAAGGTCATGCATAAATATTTAAATGAATTACTTTATGTTGAGAGAAATTCCAAGGTTTTGATCTTTTTATCCAAACCTGGGAACAAAATAAATTTTGAAATCTTGACATTATCTGTAGGATGAGCATTCCCATTTTTTTTTTTTTTTTTTTTTTTATCAGAACTATCAAAATGGATAAAAGAATTCACTTCAGTTTTTATAGATTCATAGACATTAGGGCTGGAAGGGACCTCGGAAGATCATCAAGTCCAGCCCTCTGCTGCAGGGTCAGGAAGTCAGCAGGGATCATAGGATCCCAGCAAGATAAACATCCAAATTTCTCTTGAAGGTGTTCAAAGTAGGTGCTTGAACCACCTTCGGCGACATTCTATTCCAGATCCTGGGGGCTCGGACAGTAAAGAAGTTCTTCCTTATGTCCAGCCTGAAACGGTCATAGAGGAGTTTGTGACTGTTCGACCTTGTCATCCCTTGGGGCGCTCTGGTGAACAGATGTTCCCCCAGATCCTGGTGAGCACCTCTGATAAACTTATAGGTGGCCACCAGATCCCCCCTGAGCCTGCGCTTTTCCAGGCTGAAGAGTCCCATGACGTGCTAAAGAGCTTTGTTGTTGGTGGTGGTGGTTTTTGAAGTGGAGGGCACTTCAAACTCCCAAGGATCCTTCACCAAATCAGTGTGTCAATATTAGCTGTTGTAGGGGAGGGGGATTTTCAAAAGTGCTGAAAGGATGCAGGTGTTGAAGTCTGATTGACCTGCTTCAATTGTTAAATAACTCAGGCCATGTCTATCCTGTCTTGCTGCTATGCTCAGACCATCCACCAAGAAATAGTCCTTGCCTGTTCACTTCTACTCTGACTCTGTCCTAGTTCAGCAGTTAAGTAAGACAGACTGTTCAGAAACCAGAGTGGCATCAGGGCAAATACTCAGAATTCTTTTAAGTTACCTAACTGGATATGCATTGGGTGGAGCTTGTTTTTCATGATAGTTTCATGTTCAGCCGGCAGACAGTTTAGTAGGCAGACAGTTTAGTTATGGCCTTATGTGCTTTTTAAAATTTTACCCTCAAGCTTGATATGGGATTTTAGGCCTACAACCCTCCAGCTAGAAAATCAGAAACAAACCATTCTTACCTCGTTTCTCTCATACCACCCAATGTTTTGCATTTTTGAAAATGTCTGAGACCGTTTCACCACAAAATAAATGAGGTAACCACTTCCACATAAGCAACATATGATGAGCACATTCGCCAGAACTCGAAGGAATCTTCTCAAATGAATATTCTCATCCTTGTTACTTTCTTGCTCATCCACAATAGACTCCTTAATAAATAGGTGAAGAATTGTAGTATGTGCATAGATTCAGAGGTTTAGACCAGAAAAGAATATTAGATTATTTTATCTAAAACATAGAGTCATTACATTTCACTATTATCCATGCACTGAGCTCAACAACTTGTTCTTGACTAAAGTAATGCCAGAAAGACATCCAATCTAGATTTGAATACACCAGGAGATGGAGAATCCAACACTTCGCTAGTAGTTTGTTTCAATGTTTAATTAGCCTCATTCCTAAAAATGTGTGCCAAATCTCTAGTGATATTTGGTGGGGGGGCTTTAGCCAAGCTTCAGGTTACAGCCATCAATTCGTTAAATGCCTTTCTTGTATAGATTGTAGAGTCTTCTTTTATCCCAGCGAAGGAAAGTTTTTATGCTATGATTAATCTTTTTTAAAACTAAATAAATAATTTATTAAGTCACTCATGTAAGTCATTCTGTCTAGCCCTCAACCACCTGTGGCATTTTTTTTTCTGAAACAGAGTAAACACTAACTCTAGAACATTTGGAAATAGCTTGTGCGTTTTAGCAAATGTCATGGCTTTATCTATACTTGGTGCACTTGTGTCCTCTCTCCTTCTCCTAGGTTTTCCTTTAACAACAAAAATTCAACTATTTCATGGTTAACTACTAGATCACAAAGTTTACTTAGATTAAATTTCATAATCTGAAGTATCAATAAGTAGCATAATCTCCAATAGAATATATTTTCATTCCTTATATGAGCAAAGAGGAGTTTGGCTATCAGTACATATTCTAACACCATTTAAGTCATACAAAACCGTGGGAGGAAAAGACAATGATTAATGGATACTTTGATTAGTTAGGATTCTGACTTTAGACCTGAATCCAATATTGATTTATAGAGTACTTAACATCATCAAATTAAATCTTCTAATATTGGTTACACTCAAAATATTTATTTGATGAAAAATGGCTTCTTAACCAAAAAACTACTAGTTGGAAAATGATAGAAACCTCTCCCCCTTTTTTAGGTTAAAAAATGATTGGTTTGGCTTTTACTTAAAGTTTTTGCTGTTTTCACTCAGTGAAAAAAAAAAAAATAATAATAATAATAATGTGATTTGGAAGTAAACTGACTTTTATTGGAAACTCACTTTTTTTCTGCTTGATTTCTGGATTTGCAATGAGTTATGAAAAAAAAATCCCTTGGATACTGGTTAAAATTGTCTGCTGAAATGGCCATTTTAAAATTAACTACAGTTGATCTTTTTATGGATTGCTCTTTTCCATAGCAACTTTCTTGGGAATTAATAAAGGTCAAATTCTGTTCTCAGCTAAACAGAAAAACTAAATTCAGTATAAATTAACAAAGAATGCATGCAAATTCAGAGGCGACGCATGGGGGGGGGCACGTGGGTGCACATGCACCCTCTGAGCGTGGCGGTGCACCTCCTGCAAAAAGGCCATCAGCGTTTGCGGGCGGTCCATGATCAGTGCTTGCCACCCTCCCCCACTCATCGCCGCCAGTGCCAGCAGTGTCTGTGGGAGCTGCGCCCTTACCGCCGCCGGGCTCCTGCCGTTGCCACCACAGCCGTGCCTCACCAGCCACTGGGGGCACCCGCCATTCACGTTCAAATTAATGTAATAATTGTAGGCTTAAGACACTGTAACTTAAGTAGAATTTTGGCTTATGAGTTAACCTACTGAAACTTTCTGGCAGACAGGCAGATGGGTCTCATTTTAGCAAAGGGGATTTTATCTGAGATGAGAAAAATAGGAGCATCAAGAGGTCCTGCAAGGAGAAGCCCAGGAAATAACTATACTGTGATGGTGCATAGACTTAGTGGCTATAATCACAGTCTTATTTCTAAAACAGACTCTAATGCAGCAGGGGAAAAAAAACCAATGCTAGGGAGAGAATAAACTTGGACCGCTTATGAGGTTTTTTGTTTGTTTTTTTTTTTTTTTGGGGGGGGGGGGGGATCATCTTTTTCTTGACCATGAGGAAAATTAGCAGGTCCACAGCCCCCTTCCTCCAGCAGGAGGTGGTGGCTGCTGCAGTGGAGCAGAGCCTGGGTCCCCACATGCTGCTGCCTGCTGTGGGCTCTGGCACAGGGGGTGGGCCAGCTCCCCAGCATGGCACATACTCCCAGAGTGGCAGGGGAAGACCCGTGTCCCCAGATCTGTGCACACAGGGGGCACATTGCCAAGGAATCTGGCCCCTGCCCCCAAACGAACTGCCCGCAGCCCCATCCCACTCCCTGCTGGGGCCCCAGTCCTGCCCAACCCCCTCCCTCCCTCCCTCCCTAAGAGGGCTTAATTTCCGCACCGCCCCTCCACTTGCTGCTCTCCAAGCTACCTGGGGCCATGTGCATGTACATGCACTTGGCACCCCCTGCCTGCCTGCCCTCCTCCCGCTCCCTCCAGGCTGGAACTCTGCCAGCCTACAGAGGGCTCCTCACAAAACTGCAAAATCCTGGGGCTTCTCTGGTAAAATGATTCCAAAAACCAAAAATTGTGATTCTAATACGAGTGATTTTTATGTGTAATAATATACAAATGGTTTTGGTTTTCCCATACTGATTCAGATAAGCAGCTGATTCTATTAACTAGCAATTCGATAAAGGCAAATCCAATGTAGTGGTATGTCTCTTAACTATGTGTATGAGTTCAACCAAGTGTATATTGCCTAGAATCAGGGTTGAATTATGTCATCCTAAATTTTCCTTGAGATGGCATATAAGTATCCCGAGTAATTTTTTTCCTTTTGAAAATCTGCTAAGCTAGATTCTAGCAGCATGTCTAGAAGCATGAGGCTCCCTGTCAAGGAAATATGTCATTTACCTTGAAGCTGGTTGTGATAGATGCAAACTTGTTGTCAGCTGTCTCTGGGTTACCAATGAGGTAGTCCCAACTAGTGAACATTTTCCAGCTGAAAATGAAATCAGTGTCATCCCCATCACCTGTGCTTTCATTGGCATTGCGGGCCATCCTGCATGAGGATACAAATTGTAATGTGTTAGTTTGTAACAGGTTAAGCAGCCACTAGATATATGTATTCTAATATAATAAAAGCTTTAGTCTGTCTGTCTGTCCATAACGCTTTATGAGCACTCTGATTGGTTGTCTCAGCAGCCAATAACAATGTTGACTGAAACAACCAATCAGTGCGCTCTGCATAGACAGACACACACACACACACACACACACACAGGAGCGCCACCATGACAATGGGCCTTAACCCTAACCCCGCCCCCCACCCCTACACTTTGGAGGCAGAGAGGGACAGCAGGGACAGACTGGCATGGCAGAGTGCTGGGGGTGGGGGGAACCAATGCTGGCTTTGTCCCCCGCCACCCGCCCTGCTCCTTGGAGACAGCAGCGGCATGGCGGGCTTGCAGTGCAGCACTCGCCTTACCCCCCTGCTCCAGTGTCATCAACACATCCAAGGGGTGGCCTTGCCCCCCCACCCAGCCCTGCTCCATGGAAGCAGCAGTGGCACTGGCCAGCTTCATCCCTGCCATCATGGTGGCACTCCGTCCCCAGCAGAGAGGGATGCAGGGGATGTGGACTGGCACAGCAGAGTGCTACTCTGATGGAGGGAATAGAGTGAGGGGGGTGAAGCCAGTGCCACGCCGTGAGCATCATGCACCACTGCCACCTCCAAGAAGCAGGGTTGGGGGGGCAGACCTCCCCTTGGAAGCGGCAGTGGCACAGGGTGCTAGTGGCAGGGACAGCAGAGCAAGCTTCCCCTCTCCCAGCAGGTGGCAGTGCAGGATGGTGGGTAGTGGCGCTCTGTCCCCACCCTCCCACCCCCACAGGGAGGGGAATGTGGCAGGGAAGAAGGGAGGGAGAGAGAGGAGCGGGACGGTGAATGGGGAGGGGATTTCCGGTGGCAGCATCCCTCACCGCCACCGTGCCCCTCCCCACTGCCAATGCTGCTGCTGCCCAGCCCTAACAACAGCCAGCAGAGAGGGGGAGGCAGTGGGGAGGGAGGAAGGAGAGAGGGACGGGGGACTGTTGTGTGCAGCTGGACACAGCACAGGGCACTGGGTGTTGGCAGCCACCACTGTGTGCAAACTCCCCTCCCCACCCATTCCTGAGAGCTAGTGGCAGGGCAGGGTGGAGTGGCAGGGGGTTGGGGGGCGCACAGGGCTGCACCAGGAGTGGTAGAGGGTGGGGGGCCCACAGTCCCAGATGCAGGGGGTTGGGGGGCACACAGGGCCAGAGGTAGAGTGGCGGCACCATGGGGTGCTGGGGTGTGGCGCTCCGTTCCCGCCTGCCCTCTCCCCTCCCCCCCATCATTCATGATGGGTAATTTGCTAGTATAGAAATAAAGATGGTTGTGATCTGAGGCTCTAGATGTGACAGCTATTGTTAAGAAAGACTGGTTTCATATGTCAAGAGAAAAATAATTGTTCATCACAAAAGGATACATTATTGTTTAATTGGTTCACAGTACTGTCAGCAAAGTGGAGAAGGAGAGGAGTTGCTCATACAATATCTAGCAGAATAGGGTCTTGTTCTGTAAGTATGACTCCTAATTCCTTTGGTAATACTAATAATGGATCATAACAACAGTAGCTCTTCTTAGCATGTTATTTAACTCAAAAAAAATCAAATCTCAGGTGCTGTCCAATATACTAGTGTGACAGGTGCCCACTCTAGGCTGACCTTAATGTGGCCTGCGCACTTGTTCCTGGGGTAACCGCCTGCCTACTCATCTGCCATGCCTTGTTATTAATTGATTAATTAGCGGGAGGCTGCCCTTGTACTACCCCGCTGCTAGGGGGTGCTATCTGCGGCTCCATTTCCTCCCCTACACCGCAGTCCACACCTCACCAGTGGAATCACTGTTGTCTCAATTCTATCCCTCTTTGGCCCCTTCCTGTTCTCCCTGGGCCTTCCTTCTCCGTGCTCACATTTGAGTTTCCTAATGATGCTGCCCCCTTTCTGGGGCTCACTGTGCCCACACTTGGGCTCCCTAATGATGCTGCCTCCTCTCTGGGGCTCGCCGTGCCCACACCTGGGCTCCCTAATAATACTGCCACTTCTCTGGGCTCGCTGTGCCCACACTTGGGCTTCCTAATGAGGCTGCCCCCTCTCTGGGGCTCACTGGGCCCAACTTGGGCTTCCTAATAATACCGCCCCCTACCTGGGGCTCACTGGGCCCCGCTCTGGGGCTGGGGTCTATGCACCCTGTACACTGCACCCTTACTGGTGCTGGGGCCCCCACACCACTGTGAGTCCCTATGAGGCCTCCTCCAACCCCTAATAGCCTCACCCAAACCACCGGTTATAACAACAACAAAGCAAAACACAAGCCCCTGGGCTATAACATAACTATAAGCCACCTGGCTATAACAACGTTGCTCAAGCCTCTGAGAGCTGCCATAAACTGTACCTGCCATCAGGCTTCTTCCCACATCCTGGCTTAGGGAGCTCCTACCTCTCTGGCTGCTGGCAGGGAACTGCCTCTGGCCTCCTGTCTGTGCTTTATATAGGAGCCAGGCCCTGCCCCTTTCAGTCAGCTGACCTTCTTTGGTTGCCCTGGCAACCCACAGCTGGGCTCCTTAGTCCTTGCTAGGGCTCTTT